TACAGCAGCTGCTGTAGACCACAGGCACTTGGAACGTTTCAATAAAATATAATGCTAAATAAATACGAAATCTATTTACTACCAAAGTCTTAATGTTTCTATACTCTCTTTCACCTATTATTGCCGACAATTTCCTGCAAATGCCGTCCAAATGCTCATCAGCAACAAACGCTGGCTGCCGCTGCACACTGACACATAAATAATATGTCATAATCAATATCGATAGACTCCTGATAATATGTGTCAGTGTGCAGCGGCAGCCTTGGCGGCAGCCAGCGTTTGTTGCAGATGAGCATTTGGATGGCATTTAGAGAGTATAGAAACATTAAGACTTTGGTAGTAAATAGATTTCGTATTTATTTAGCATTATATTTTATTGAAACGCTCCAAGTGCCTGTGGTATAGCAGCACCCAGCAGCGCTTCGCTCTGACTGATGAGTGGGCCGTGGATGCTCCTGCGGTTATTGCCGCAGTAAGGGGGGCTTATATCGGGCTTGCGAGCCGACTCGACTGGAAGCAACTGGCTGCAATTCACTGCGACTGCAGTGCTTAGGTCGGTCGACTGCGACGCGACTGCCTGCGACTGGCCGCCACTAGTGCTCAAGGGGTCGTTGTCGTATCAGGTACTACAGATATGTACCCGAGGTACATATATGTATACACAAAGTGTACCAGACTTGTACTACAGAAGTGTACCCTAACCCTAACCCTAAACATACCTCATATAAAAATATAAACATAATACTAAACAACCTAAAACTACCTCGGGTACATATCTGTAGTACCTGATACAACAACGACCCCATCTGCGCCACTAGTTGCTCGGAATAGAACAGTGGCAAACTGGAGGTCCAGTTGCTCGAAATCCATCGAAATTCATCCAGTTGCTATAGAAATCGATAGAGTTGTTATGGGCCGTGATAAAACACGCGCGCGCCGTCTTCCGGGAGTGGTTGGCTGTAAGCGTTTTTGCGAGCGGTCGCGCCGACTGTATTTCGATATTAGGATCGCCTCAGACGCTTCCTCCCTAACGCTAGCGTCTTAATAAGTTAACGCGTATAACATCGTCATGAAGGCCTACTGGCATAAAATTGCTTCCAAGTCTTCTGCTTACGATACATCGCCGTATGATCATTATGATTATTTGCTATCCATACGTGGTGGATCTACGGGTGGTAGGCATACAATCATTATACAATATCTCTGGCTCTAGAATTAGGTCGGTCGTGGTAAGCACTCTGTGCTATTAGGTGCTGCCATCTTGTGGCAAAGAGCATAGAAAGCTGTGATGTAGTTAATGTTATTGTCAAGAGATGTCACTCGGATGTAATACTGTGGTGTGTGTGTGTGTTAGTGTAACCATGGCCACAGTGTAGCTGCTGCTGCCGCGCTGTAAGCATGGCTGCACTGTAGCTGTGGTTGTAGTGTAACCATGGCCACAGTGTAGATGTGAATTAAAAAATGAAGCGTTGGCGTGGTTGTAGTGATGGATAGATGCCGTGCGGCTGCAGAAAAAAAAGCATGGTGTGTGTCACGGTGATCTCTGCTTGCTCCTGCCCCTGCCCTGCCCTGCCTGCCCCTGCCTACATGCTCCTGATGCCACCCACCTTCACATCCTTACTTGCCCCTGTTACCATCTCACCCTGCCAACGTTCAACATTGTCAGTCCCTGGTAGCACCTCACCACACGAGTCTACCGATCCTTGTTACCATTCCGCCCTCACATGCCTGCTTATCCTGGTTATGATCCTACCACACGAGTCTACCCACCGGCACTTGGGACAGAGTCAGTTTTTACTGACTCTGTCCCAAGTGCCTGTGAGTCTACCGATCCTTGTTACCATTCCGCCCTCACATGCCTGCTTATATCCTGGTTATGATCCTACCACACGAGTCTACCTATCCCTGTTACCGCCCTCGCACGCCCGCCTGTCACTCGTACCACCCCCACCGTCACACGCCCACCTGTCGCTGTTACCACCTCACCATCACACGCCCACCTGTCGCTGGTACCACCCCACCATCACACGCCCACCTGCCACAAGTCCACCACCACGATACTCCCCCTCCCGGTTTCAAAAGTCACCGGTTTTCTCACAGGGACGTTGACGCTTCATTACAAAAGAATAACGCGCCGCAAAATCGCGTCTAATTGCGAAACACAATGGACGGCGCTGTCCCCGCTATAGATGCCGTGTGTTTGTTCGACCTTTCGCAGTGAAGAAGACACGAGAGCAGTGCGAATGTTGACGGCAGATTAACCCGACTGAAATGCGGCTGAGCACGACTCGCATTGTCATTCGCAAATTATGCCGTGATTTTCGTTGATGGTGCGTTGGTGGGTCGACGGCCACCGTGCGCTCAAAGCTAGTCAATATAGTATCGCGTCTCGCATTCGTTTCCACGCAATGCATCGTTAATCACAGTAATTGTATCTGTAACGATAATGATGTTTGAGGACGTTGTGCGAATGATACTCCCACCCTCCTCCTTCGCTCCTTTACAGCTTATAACGGCGACCACGTCAATTTGTTTTATGAGTCGCCGGTACACGAATGATGCATGACTAATAGTGTTGTACATAGTAACCTATTTATAGATTTATAGATCCCTGATGAATCGGTGCCGACCAAACATTACTCGCCTCGATGTTTATAAATCGTGTATTATTTTTGCAAATACACATCATACACGCCGGTTAATGTTGGTGTGGCGGCGGATTAGCGCATCGATTGATGTGAAATGTGGCCGGTCCAGATGGTGAAATGTGTGAACACGCGCACGCACACGCACGCATACACACACGCGCACGCACACGCACGCATACACACACGCGCGCACACACACACACACACGCACGCACGTGTGTACGGACCGCATATATGTGATCACACTACGCTTTCACGGCTTGCCTATATCGCGCATCTTCATGATGTTGCTGTACACATGAGTCAGAGTAGACAGAGACAGAAACTGGGAGAGGCGCAGATAGTGGGCGTGAGAGCCAGTGGCAGAAACCGAGACGGGAACGTCTCGTATTCACAGTTCAAGTCAGTGTAGTCACAGGGGACGTCGTCAGTGTATTGTGTGTGCGGCAGAGTGAGGGGAAGAACGTTAGGGTGAAACGTGTGGCGGTTCGGGTAGGAAGTGCTCATCACATAAAATTGCGTGCGGCATTGCAGGTGCTTTTCTTAATCTAGATTATTCCTAGTTCCACGTAGCCCAAACGAAAAGGCGTGTTACTAAATACTACTTTGCAATGCATTTCCGTACATGCCTTGGAGTTACTATAGCATTGCTCTTGAGGCGTGCCGCGTAGGCGTCTCCACTCCGTGTTCGAGCGTTCAAACATATCGTGATCGTCAGAAGTTAGAATCGAGTACGAACATGTATTGATACCGCTGTTACGAGAGCTGTGTTATTTCTAGAGGGAGCTGATCAATATTATTGCTGGGAAACCAGCAGACGGCGCGGGGCCGGCTATGAGCATTAAAGGCATAATACCCATTGATTATACAAAGTTGACGAATGCTACAGTAACTGGCACCTTCTGTAGTTAATAAGTACATTACCTTATAGTCAAACGCGTATTAGTTTGTCCAATATCACTGCTAATTACTAAGAAATGCAGACATGCCAACCATTACGATTTGGGCGTAATTATTACGATTTTGGTGTATTAATTACGCCATTACGCCTAAGTCATCCATTATTACGACTTTTAGTAAATTTCAATAAATTTAATTTTAAGTAAAAAAAAAATTTTTTTTTAAATTTTTCTTAAATAAATTTTCAGTGATGTAGACACTGACAGAGGTTTCTGTAGTGTGCTGTTTGTGTTTACAGATGAACGGAGTATCTTCTGAATTGTTTTGTGACAGTTTCTAGTCATGTGTCACTTAACTTGTTCAGACACGCAGAACTGCTGAATCTTTGTGAAAGAGTTTGCTTAGTACACTAATGTACATTGATAGTCTTTATTTCTTCAGCCAACTTTTTCATTTATTTCTTTCAGCAGATCTAGCAGAACTGACCACATTGTTGCTGAAGGTTCTGTATACATGTATAGTCATTTTTTTTGTTTAGCAGAGATCTTGAGATATTTTGTGGCTCAGCTATGTAATCGACTCTTGAGTCAGTAAGAGGGGAAGATAAGCATAATCAGGGTAGCCGATCCATTTAATGTTCCGTATGATTGTGCGGTGTAATGCACAACGTTTACTGTCAATAAAATTTAGTTTCGTTTATTACAATTCTCTAAATAATTCTGTCAATTCTTCCCACTATTTTCAGGCAGAAAAACATCATTTGCCTAATTTTAAATCGAGCCTGAAACGTTGCACAGATGGCCTCCACGAATGCACCACAGAGCATCTAAGCTTTCAAAATTTTCTCTGGGGCGAGAGGACCCCTAAACCCCCCCTCAATGGAGGGGGACACATGCGCGGCGTTGTCAAACCGCAATTTAGAAATCATTACTCTTTGGCTTCATTGAATAGTTGCGCAATCGTCTGAGAAATGTTAATTGAAATTCCCGTAAATCTCGGTAATCTGGCCGCCAACGCTAAACTTGGTTGCCAGCAAAATAGCTCGAATTCAGGGTTAGGCAACCGTGCACATGTTGCTACGGTGTGTTTGAGCAGATAATTGTTTGTCCTGGGGACTGCTTATATACGACTAACTGAGCTATGAGCAGAAATGTATCTCTGCGGTGATTCCTCGGTATTGAGGCCACAAACGTAAATAACCGTGCGGTGCTGGGACAATGAAACAGGGTACCCACACTGTCTTCAATTTCAGACACAGGCTGTATTCGTTTGACAATATACGTAAATACGCGTCAGTGCCGTCTTGTTTCCATGTTAGTCTGTCCGATGCCGTGGTATAGTCCGCGACTCCTTCCCATAGGCGTTGGCCCCAACACAGGCCTTACTCCATTATACGAGCGTCCCGTGATTCGACGTGGATTCCACGTTCATTACCAAATCAGGAGCTAACTGTTACGTCATAGCAGCACGGTACGGTACTGTACCCTATCGCTCACGCATTCGCGCGTCACCCGCGCCGAGCGAAAATGCGATGCGTGACTCCTCGACACTGTGCAGGTGTGCGTTTGCATGACCGCGTACGCACGACAAACTGTCCGGTGGACTATAAATCTGTATTCACACCCGTTTCGAAGTATGCGGTGTTCAAGACTGTAACACAAGTCAGTCAACTGATCCCTTTATCTACTCCTTCGGTATCTTTGACACAACTACTGATCTAGCCTGCATGAACTTGTAAATCGGGCGATTTTATCGCCGGTCGCGGACACAACAGGCGAATGGATCGGGCCGCATGCCATCGGTCCGATGGCATGCGGGCATAATATCAAAACGTTCCCTCTGATTCTGTGCGATGCCCATCGGCCGATGCGCCGCATCGAGGCGATGACCCAATCGGCGCTGGCGCCATGACAGTGCGACACACCCCAGGCGATTATTCACGCCCGACTGCACTCGGCCCGATGCCATCGCTGCGTGTGTCGGCCCTTAAGGGTATCGGTACTATTAACCGCCGTGCCCCTGCCCCCCGCCGCACTACCCGCGCCCACCGCCCGCGCCGCCTCCCTCCCGCCTCCGCCCGACACAAGAGTGGCACAGTACTCTAGCATTCGTTAAATTGATAAACTCGATGGGGCTCCGTCATTCTTGGCCTTTAACTTGCGCTAGTATATCACACAGGCACTCTGGAAACGTCTTCAATATAAATATAAATGCTAAATAAATACGACCAATCTATTTAGACTACCACAAGTCTTAATGTTTCCTATACTCTCTTTCACCTATTATATGCCCGACAATTTCCTGCCTCCTAATGCTGTCCAACATGCTCATCTACAGGCAACAAACGCTGGGCTGCCGCCTGACTCACCGTGTC